AATCATCCAGGTCAAAACCAAGAAAGTCTAATTGCCTTTGAAAAGCACCTTTCAGACATTCAATTCAATTCATTCATTCATTCATTCATTCATTCATTCAATTAATCAATCACTCAATCAATCAATTTCTATAGCTGTCCATCTCAATCCATGACTCCAGGCAATTTACAATCCAGACAATGCATTACAATTAAAAACACTAAAAACATCCGGATTAAATAAATATACATAGGATCAAGATACTTGACCGGTTAGCAATACAGGCAAGAAACGGGGCTCTTAACTGAGCCTCGGTGGTGCAGTGGTTAGAGTGCAGTACTGCAAGGTACTTCTGCTGACTGCTGGCTGCCTGCAATTTGGCAGTTCAAATCCCACCTGGCTCAAGGTTGACTCAGCCTTCCATCCTTCCGAGGTGGGTCAAATGCGGACCCAAATTTTGGAGGGCAATAGGCTGACTCTGTAAACCGCTTAGAGAGGGCTGTAAAGCACTATAAAGTGGTGTATAAGTCTAAGTGCTATTGCTATTGCTATAAACACATTTAGCACCCCAAGCATGAGAACATAGCCAGTTTTTTAGGGCCTTAGGAGAGGCTAACGGGGTTAGGATCATTCTAATCGCCCCAAAGTTTCAAATGGGGAATAAACACATCAAAGCCTTCCTGACTCACTCCTGTAACTTTTGCTCTAAACCGGAGTAACCCGGCTTCTCATCTGCTTCTCACATGTTTTTGAGAATGAGGAAGTTGCAAATTTCACCCTGTCGGCTTTTTTGAAGGCTCTTCCTGCATGCTGGGTAAAAATATCCCAGAGTTGGTCTAGGAGGAAGAGAAAGTCCTTGTGGTCTTTCTTGTGTATGCTTGGTTTTTTGTTTTTTTGAGGGGTGAGGGGTGATATGTCTGCAGTAGCTGGGATGGTACTGCCTGTCCCCTGTTCTTACCACACGCAAACCGCCTTCAACCGTCTTTCCTTTCAGGAAGCGAAGAAAGTAGCGGAAGAAGTGAAGCGCATTGAGTTGTCCTCGTCGAACATGGTAAGGAGATCGGCGTCTTTCTCTAGAAGAACCCAAGAGTACAATAGGCTTTGCCGATCATTTGGTCAGCCTTCGGGAGATCGGAGTTTGAGCTGATTTGGAAAGGGAAACCTTTAGGAAATGCCCAGGTTTTGCACTGGGAGGATTTCCTTAGCAGGCTAGGCTAGGTTAAAATGAGGTTGGGAAGTTTGTCTGGTTAGAGAGGAATCCCAGACATTGTCTTGGCGTGCTGGGTGAATCAGGTTGGGCTGTAATGTCGTTATTTGTTCAGGCCTAGCATGCTGGTGAGCGTGTCCTCCAGATTTCATTTTCATCTCAGTGTTTTCATTAGAGGTGATTGTTCATCCTCATATTCCCACCTTGCATCTGAAGGACGTTGATTTAATGATCTAAAACAGGGGCGGCCAACTTTAAGACCTGTGGACTTCAACTCCCAGAATTCCCCAGCCAGCCATGGCTGGCTGGGGGATTCTGGGAGTTGAGGTCCACAGGTCTTAAAGTTGCCAAAGTTAGAGACCCCTGATCTAAAATTGTGAAGATACAGGTTAGAAGAAGTTAGAAAGCTTAGAAGCTTATTCTCTGGTCTCCTGCTAAGATATACTGTGAGGACCATGGAAGACTCATCTTTAGAACACTTGCTTAGGTTACAGGAAGGGAACTATCTGTTCCGATGTGGCACTGATTAGATTAACACGGTTGGAAGGGACCTGGTAGGTCATCTAGTCCAACCCCTCCCGTCCAAACAGGAGACCCTACCCCATTTCTGACAAAGGGCAGGCCTCCAGTGATGATGAAGCTCCCACAACTTCCAAAGGCAACTTCTGTTTCATGGGTTGATTGTTCTCACCGTCAGAAATTTCTCTTTATTTCTAGTTTGAATCTCTCCTTCATCAGTTCCCATCCATAATTTCTTCTCTGGCCTTCAGGTGCTTTGAAAAATAGCTTGGCTCACCCTCACCCACCCCTCCTCTCTGGGGCAGCCCCTCAAATATTGGAACACCGCTATCCTGTCTTCCCTGGGCCTGTAGGAAGAATGCTGAGATTGCACAAAATCTCTTTCCTCCAAATGAGGAAAAACAAACCACAGCTCAGGCAGGGCTTCCTTGGGACCGACATTGGTCTGGTTTTAAGCCTTGCCTTCTCGTTGCCCTACAGATCCACAACCCCATGGAGATCCGGGAACCTAAGCCGGCTGCCTTTGACCTGCGGAAACATCTGGAGGCGTCGGGGCATAGCATCGAGACTTGCCAGCACGTGAGGGTGACTGGCAAATCTTGCAAAGGTTACCTAGTCAAAATGGGCGGGAGGATCAAGACTTGGAAGAAGCGTTGGTTCACTTTTGATCGCCAGAAGCGCGTCTTGGCGTATTACACAGGTGAGAGAGAGAGAGAGAGAGAAGGAGGCAGGGAGGGAGGGAGGGGGAGAGAGAGAGAGAGAGGAGGGAATCGAGACAGGTAGCTACTTCTTCACCAGGTTGTGCTCTCTGCTGCTGATAGAAGAAGATTCGGTTTTAGCATCAGTGCATTCCATTGGCATGCACTGCTTATCTAAGGGATCAGGAGAAAGGATGCATTAACATTTAGAATAACAAAAGAGTTGGAAAGGATCTTGGAGGTCCTCTAGTCCAACCACCTGCTCAGGCAGGAAACCCTACAGTTTAGAAAGGTACTCCTTTCTCTAAGGAGAAATTTCCTGACAGTGAGAATAATTAATCAGTGGAACATCTTGCCTCCAGAGGTTGTAAATGCTCCAACACTGGCAGTTTTTAAGAAGAGGTTGGGTATCCATTTGTCTGAAGTGGTGTAGGGTTTCCTGCCTAGGCGGGGAGGTTGACTAGAAGACCTCCAAGGTCCCTTCCAGCTTCTATTATATTCTGTTCTGTTCTATTCCATTCCATTTTCTAGTTTTGCATAATGTACCGAATCATAAAGTAAAAGATATACTTTGGATTTATACCAGATGCTAAGCCGCAGAAAGGCAAACATGCTATAAAACACCTAAAGATCGTGCGAATGTGGCTGGTAGGTCTTCAGTTGACCTGTTTAAACTTATTGGGTGAATATAGCCCCTGAATTGAAGGCAAGATTAGAGCAATGAATTCAGCCATTTCTCATTGAATCCATTGGGCCTTCATTTTCTGTCTTTTCCAACTTGCTAACATGGACCTGTGATTTTATTTTTAAATCCCCCTCCAGACAAAGAAGAGACCAAACTTAAGGGTGTGATCTATTTCCAGGCCATTGAAGAGGTTTATTGTGATCATCTCCGCAGTGCTTTCAAGGTACCAAGAGTAGAGATTTGCTGAAAGTCTCATTTTTAATCCACGCAGACCTGGGGGAGGGGCTGTGTGGGATCCAAACTGATTCAGGCCGTTAGCATTTTGGGCTGAGTGAGTGAGTGAGTGACCAAGCTTCCTTTCCCAGAATTGCTCCACAAAATTTGCTTTTGTTTTATTATTCTGTGGAAGCATCCAAAATGATTTCCCCCCCAGAAATCTTGCAATAAATTCCCACAACCTTGGGCTGCATGCTTCAAATTTAAAAATTCTGCTCTCGTCTGATTTTAACAACTGCTTGCTTAGGCTGTGAATTTCAATTCTGTCTCTCTCGGTTGATGAATGGGATTATATATTATAGTATGAAGTTTTAGTGCATTGTTTCTCAAACTTGGGGACTTTAGGTCATGTGGACTTCGATCTCCAGAATTCCCCCAGTGGGCTGGGAAATTCTGGGAGTTGAAGTCCATATGTCTTAAAAGTTGTCCAGTTTGAGAAATTAGTGTATTTTCATGAACTAATGGCTTTATCTATGATGTTAGATTTTTATTAGTAGCTATTCTAGGCTGGTTTTATAAGAAAGAAGGATGTTATCAATATCATTTGCCAATCAATTAAATATTGCAGGAGTTCTTAAGCTTTCTATATTACTTATCACTCTAAAATGATAACTTAGCTATATTTGACACTGTTCTCTCGCCATTGATCATTTCACTGGACTTGAGCAAAAATGGGCATACCACTGCCCTTAAATACTCACATTTTAACCAATTCTGTGTCAGGTAAACCTTGCAACTTTACCAAATAAATTTCTTCACTAGAAATAAACAATAAAACCATCCAATTGAATCTCTCTTTTTTTTTGGAATGGGAAAGGTCAGTTTGCTCCATTTTGCATAATTCCTAAAGTCCGAGACATTTTAATTTTCATCCCACATTCATTTTGCTTTGCTGCTTGTTCTTTCTAGCCAGAAGTTCACACCATCTTTATTTAATGCAGGCTTCTCCAGGCTGAGTTGGAACAACAATCCAACTTTGTGTGTGCAAGTCCCTTCCTTTCAAATATTTCAACTCCCCCACTTCCCCCACAAAGTCATAATCCTAAGCAAACAACATCTGATATAGTTTATGAGTATAACTATAAACCGAATAATGTCCGGGAATAGAGACGTGAAGTTTGAACTGACTTAGTCAAAACAGTGTCCTTTGCTGTTTTTGAGAATCATCTGACACGTAATAAATTTTATCCAGAACTATTTATTCAACAGAAGCTTTTTGCCCCTTAAATTTGACCTGGGAATTTTAATTGCAGAAGGCAGGAACCATGTGTTGTACTTTCCATAAGCAAATTGCCCTCTCTGCAAAGTTTCCCACCACCTCCAAATACTCTCATCATAATTCAAGTGACTGAATAATGAAACTGGTTCAAGATCAAATTGCCCTGAATTCCTTAGAAAAGTTGTCACATTTTGCATACTTCTTTCCCTTCCCAAAACCAATTATCTTGGCTTTTTCACAGCCATCACTTGAGAAAACCCCTGAGACATATTTTAGAATAGAAATGGGAATGGAATGGAATACAATAGAATAGCAGAATTGGAAGGGACCTTGGAGATCTTCTAGTCCAACCCCCTGCCTAGGCAGGAAGCCCCACACCACTTCAGACAAATTGTGATGACCCGTAGTCTCTCAAAATAACCCCAAACCCAAAACATATATTGAAGTCCGGTAAGGCCTTCAACTTAACTTCACTGTTTTATTGGGCATAGTTTAAAGTCACAAAAGTAAATATTGAGGCAAACAGAAAACCAAAACAAACCGCATTGATGAGAGTTCCGAAGCAAACCAAGATAACTAATCATAAACCCCAGGAAAATAACCGAGAAAAGTCCATGGGAAGAACGCTAGCAAAGATAAACCTGTTTCAAGGTGAACACTAAATTGACTCCTGCAAATTCTAACTGCGCAGTTGCAAACTTATATACATAGCTCCCACCTGCAAGCCATGAGGAGGATCATGGTAATCTCCTCTTGAGTAGACCTCGCTTTTCCCTGATCCTCTCCTCCCTGCGTGACCTAGGATGGATAGGGGATGGGCCTGGATCCTCCTCTGACTGCTCAGCCAGCCTCTGTCCTTCCCCAGCCTCCTCTACCACCTCTGGAGCCACACTCCCACTCCCTGTTGGCTGTTCCTCCTCTCCCTCAGAGTCAGTCTCCACCAGGGGCATGACACAACTGGTTATCCAACATCTTTTTAAAAACTCCCAGTGTTGGATCATTCACAACTTCTGGAGGCAAGTTTTTCCACTGATTAATTGTTCTAACTGTCAGGAAATGTCTCCTTAGTTCTAAGTTGCTTCTCTCCTTGATGAGTTTCCATCCATTGCTTCTTGTCCTGCCTTCAGGTGTTTTGGAGAATAGCTTGACTCCCTCTTCTTTGGGGCAGCCCCTGAGATATTGGAAGACTGCTCTCATGTCTCCCCTAGTCCTTCTTTTCATTAGACTAGACATACCCAGTTCCTGCAACTGTTCTTCATCTGTTTTAGCCTCCAGTCCCCTAATCATCTTTGTTGCTCTTCTCTGCACTCTTTCTAGAGTCTCAACTTCTTTTTTACATCGTGGCAACCAAAACTTGATGCAGTATTCTAAGTGTGGCCTTACCAAGGCATTATAAAGTGGTATTAACCCTTCCTGTGAAGTGTTTTTATACATTTAGCTTTTTGCCTTTTACAGCCCCGTTTTAATTACTGCCAGTTTTCAATTGCTCACAGTGCTGCGTTTGCTTCTGCCTTCTGTGATGGGCCTTTATCTTGACATTTTAATGCTGTAATGCTTTGCGGTCTTTTTCTAGTTTAGTTTATTTTTTTTATTTATTTCTAAGAGTTTTTCATGGGCTTGCTGCGAACTGCCTTGAGGCAGCTGTATGCAAACATACAAAAGAAACGAACAAACCAGTCTTTAAAATAATACAGTATTTATGTTTTTGCACAATGATCTTCACTCAACATGTGTTATAAACATCAGTTATAAATCTTACAATTGCATCGATACACCATATTCAATTGGCTATCCAAATCTTAATTAGGTTTTCTGTTGTTGCTTATGTGCATTGCTTATAGCAATGAGTCAGCACATTGAGTTAACTTGGGCTTCAGCATATGAACCCTGACATTATTTTGGTACAATGGTGAAGGCACCAGGCTAGAAACTAGGTGACAGTGAGTTCTAGTCTCACCTTAGGTATGAAAGCAGGCTGGGTGAGTTTGGGCCAATCACTAGGAGATGGTGAGTTCTAGTCCTGCCTTAAGCATGAAAGCCGGCTGGGTGAGTTTGGGACACTCACCAGGAGTCAGTGAGTTTTAGTCTTGCCTTAGTTATGAAAGCCAACTGGGGAATTTTGGACCAGTCACTCTTTCTCTCAGTCCACTACGTCAGGCTCGGGTAACAAATCAATTGGTCAATTTCTATGGAAACTAATGGACCAACACTTGATTGATGTAGGAGAAAAAGTGGAGCCTTCCCTTTGCAAAAACACTAGAAAGGAAAAAAAAAAGATGACTCTAATTCAGGTGTATGGGTCAATTCAGTACGAGGGTTAAGAGGTTCTGTGTGAATACAGCCCATTATTTTCATTCATCCATTCATTCCTCTTTTTGTTTTTGGCAGAGTCCCAACCCGAAACTGACTTTCTGTGTCAAAACCTACGACCGTCTCTTTTGCATGGTGGCCCCAAGTCCAGAGGCTATGAGGATCTGGATGGATGCCATTGTCACAGCAGCAGAGGAGAACACTCGATACTGACTAGGTTTTTCCTAGGAAATGGACTCTTAAAACTCTTCGGTTTAGCACTTCTTCCCAAGGTTTTACTGGGGTATCTCCTTCTAAGGGAAAACCGATCAACAAGACATCCAGTGGCTGAACTTGGATGCTTTAATGTTGGTTGGAGTCTTAACTACCATATAGGGCTTGTTCGGTACCCAGAGTTGCAGCTGTTGATGCTTGAAGATGATGGATAGGTTGGATGTTTCATGGACTAGCTCAGAAGACATTTCCGATCACACAAAGTCTGCTGGAGAAAACTTTGAAAAGGCCTTTTGGAAGACCAGGCTGTTGGTATGGATTTCAGCCCGTGGCATAAAAGATAGCAAACTTATTCCAGAGAATTCAGAACAATTTCTCTGGAAGATGCCCTTAACTCCAAAAAAAAAAAAAAAATGACGCTTCTCTGGAAATCAGAGGAGATGTTTTTGCAAGGGCATAAGTCAGTTGGCAGATGGAAAACGTTCTTGAGATTTCTGTAGGACACTTTGAGCGGAAGTGCCTTTTTCCTTGATCAGAAGGGAGAACTTCTCCCCCTCCTCCCCAATGCTGTATAGATCTCTATATTTATTATGTGTTTGGGGTTCTTTTCTTTAAAAACCTGGGAACACTGTTGAAAGGGGAAGCCGTGTACAAAATCATGTATGGAATATTTATTGTATAAAATCCTTCCAGTGAAAACAGAACTCGGTTTATACCTGCCTAGAAGAGGGGTCTGGCGGACTTCAACTCCCAGAATTCCCCACCCAGCAAACCTGGGAGTTGAAGTCCTCCAGGCTTAAAGTGGCCAAGGTTGAAGATCTCTGGTCTAGAAGACAAGATTTTAAGGAGCGTGCATTGTTCTTGAGTGCTCATTTATACAAGGATAAAAATGGTTGCAGAGCCGTAACCAGGGGTGGCCTTCAAACATTGTAGCCAGGGGTTCTCTGCCTGGTTGCTGGGTGGGTGGGTGGGGCCATGGTGGGCGTGGCCTAGTCAGCCTCCTGCACTGGGGGGAGGCATTTTTGCCATCCCTGGGCTCTGGAGGCATTTTTGCCATCCCTGGGCTCTCGAGCCTCCAGAAGGGCGAAAACAGCTTCGCCGGGATCTGGAAGCTGGAAATGGCCCCAGTTCTGGCATTCCCAAAATTCCAGGAGGCCCGTTTTTCACCATTCCCGTATCTCCGTGCACACCCTGCACTTATCTGCATCCAAAACGGACTCCTGGGATAGGGTGGGGAGGGTGGGCGAGGCCAGCCAGGGGTGGGATTTGGGGGATCTCCAAACTGCACAGAATCTTAGCTAGGGGCTCTCCCAAACCCCTGCAAACCCCCAGCAGCCCATCCAGGGGTGGGATTCCATTTTTTTAACAACTGGTTCTGTGGGCGTGGCTTAGTTGGTGGGCATGGCTTGGTGGTCATGTGACGGGCTGGGCGTGGCCAACTCAACATCACTCACATCGAGGCATGCATCTCCTCGCCAGGGCCTCTCGTGACTGTGAGGATGCTGCAACAGTCGTAAGTGTGAAAAATGGTCATAAGTCACTTTTTTCAGTGCCATTGTAACTTTGAATGCTCACTCCATAAAAGCAAAGTACCATCAAAAGAGGAAAAAAAACTCCAGAGAAGTTCCTGAGACAGAAAGTCTAGTCCTGCCAACAAAGTAATAAGGGTTAATGGAGAGGCAGTTTCTGTAAGCAACATCAGAATGTTTCCTTCCTGCCTTCTTTACAGGATTAGGCCAGTAATTTCTTCTAACAACTGGTTCTCCGAACTGCTTAGAATGTTAACAACCGGTTCTAGCAAATAGGTGTGAACCTGTAGAATCCCACCCCTGAGCCCATCCCATAATTTCCAATGCTCCCTGTCAGCTTCCTGCAAGGAAAGTCACTGGGGAAACCAGCAGGAAGCCAAAAGTCACTCCTGTTCTCCCTGCTTTTTTTGCCTGTAATGTGATCATTCTATTTCTCTCTTTAGGTAAGGAAATACCTTTGAAATGATGAAGCAACTGATCACACGTTGTCTAGTTGTAATAGTAACAAGCCTGTAAACCTTCACAGAGCCCAAAGTAGCACTAAAGTACTTTAATTAGTAGTACTTTAGTAACACAAAGAAGTAGTACTAAAAATGTAAACCACAACGTAACAGTTCAAAACATTCACATTAAAACGAAAGCAAACACAGAGCAAAGGCTGGTAGAATTGGGGGGGTGTTGTATTGTCCTTCTAAAGCTGACGGCTCCCTCCAGATACATACAGTCCTCGTCGTATGACCACAAGTGAGCCCAACATTTCTGTTGCTAAGTGAAACAGTTAATACCTAGTGTGACCGTGCTTGGAAAAGTTGGATCAAAGTTGAAGAGCCTTCTTTTGAACATAGGAAAGTTGAGGAAGTTCATTGCAGAATCCTTTCAGACAGCTTCAGAGGAACTCTGATAGTAATCCGAGACAGAAATTGAGTTACCTAACCACCAGATTTGACAACAGTTGGTTAACTCTCTCTTTTGCAACATGCACTTAAGAGTCACCAGAAAGGGGGGGGGAAAAACGACAGATTTATTGCAGAACAAGGAAGCTTCTACCCATCCCAATAATTCCAGCACACATAACATCAGAAATCGCTTCTGCACGCCCAAGCTTCTCACCAGGTTCTTGCAGGAGCAATTTCCTATTTTCTAACAAGTATAAACAATAAATAGCACAGTTGAGTATAATCTTGCATCCATAAAATTGCAGGCCAAAAGCAGGGGTGTCCAGCCGTGTCATCTTTAAGACTAGCGGACTTCAACTCCCAGAATTCCCCATTCCCAGCCATGCTGGGAATGGGGAATTCTGGGAGTTGAAGTCCGCAAGTCTTAAAGTCGCCAAAGTTCGGTGCCCGTGTTCTTTTCAAAACAAGAAAAGCAGAACCAGAGGCTATCTTAGCTATCATTTTAAGATGGTTCCATGATGGCTTATGATTTGACTAAAATTAGAGATAAACCATGATAAGGTTCCTGATGAATAAGGGCCTGAAAGAAATCAACATTCAGATATGACTGACATGGATGCACAGATGTTATGTAACCAATGCAAAACAATTAAAGCAATTTCACAGCTCGTTATACCATAGCAATAACATTTAGACTTATATACCGCTTCACAGTGCTTTATACAGCCCTCTCTAAGAGGTGTACAGAGTCAGCCTCTTGCCCCCCCCAACAGTCTGGGTCCTCATTTGACCCACCTCAGAAGGATGGAACGCCAAATCAACCTTGAGCCTGATGAGATTTGAACTGCCAAATTGCAGGCAGCCGGCAGTTAGCAGAAGTAGCCTGCAGTACTGCACTCTAACCACTGCGCCACCTTGGCTCTTACGAGGGAAAAGGCTGCTTTCTGTCAGCCCTTTCCACCTACAAATATTTAAAAATTCAGCATGTCCAAAAGTATGGCTTGAGGATGGGACAACAATGGAAGTACACAAATTCAAATTTCTCTGCTCCTGGTATATTTCACATATGAGTGGTTGAGTTCAGGGGTGGGATTCTATAGAACCGGTTGTTACAATTCTTTGCAGTTCAGAGAACCGGCAAATCACGCCACTGGCTGGCCCGCCCCTCCTTTCCTCTCCCCCCCCACTCACTCTTTACCTGGCATGCATGCCATCAAACTTGCCTGCGTTTGGTATGTTTCTATTTTTCCTTTTTCCCCCCTCGACCATCAACTGTTCTGCTGTGCCAGGAGATTTAGATTAGCTAGAAAGCAGGAAATCATTGGATTTCTTGCTTTCTAGCTAATCTAAAAGCAGAGCTGAACCTTCCTTAGGATTGAAGCTTCTATTTTTCAGTACAGACTCAGGTAGCAGATTGCAGAATCATAGATCTAGGAGTGAATCTGTGATTCTGCAAGCAACTCAATCTGCCTGCCTGCTTTGCCTGATTTTGGGTAAAAGTTGCTCTTTTTTTTTATAAAAAAGGTCAATATTTACAAGCCACACCCAGCCAGTCACACGACCACCAAGCCATGCCTAGTCAGTATGCCATGCCCACCCAGTCATATGACCACCAAGCCACACCCACAAATTAGGCCATGTCCACAGAACTGGTAGTTAAGAAATTTGAATCCTATCCCCGGTTGAGTTTTCACAGTGCAACTGAGAGATTTCTGAGGATATTGCCTGTTCATTCATAGAAATTGATCCTTTGTGGCTACTAGTGGATTTTGTACTTCGAGAGCTGCCCTCTTCCAGCAAGGTTCTCTTGAGTGCCCTGATGATATTATAGAGGGTCAACTTTTTGTGGTAGTCCATGCCCATGAAGAAGTAAAGGAATGGATTTGCACAACTGTTGAGGTAGGCCAAGAAGGCCGTAAAAAGAGTAACAAACGAGAAGGTTGGGCCACTCAATCCTGGCCATTTAAGGAGCTGGGTGATGTGATAGGGCAACCAACAGAGGAAGAAGGTCACCACCAGGGCCAATATGACCTTGAAGGACTTCTTTGAGGGGTGGGAGGTCTGACGTCTCCTGAGGACCACGATGATGATGCCGTAGCATAGCACGATGATGGTGAAGGGGACCAAGAACCCACATATCAGTCTCAACATGGAGATAGACACTTCTACTCCCAGTTCTTCTCCCTTTAGCATCACCAAGCATTTGGTTCGGTTGTTCTTCGTGTCCAGCTTCCGGTAAAGGTAGAAAGGAATGCTTGTGATGATGGCCATGAGCCAAGCTCCGATGGCGGCGAGCCATGCCAAGCGGATGTTCCGGTGTTTTCTGGCCCATAATGGGTAAGCGATACAAGCAGCCCGGTCCATGCTGATTGCGGCTAAGAGAAATTCGCTGCAGAACATGTTGAGGTACTTGATGAAGCCGTTGGCTTTGCATGCAAAACTCCCGAAGATCCAACCTTCCTTCACCGCAACAAGAGGTGCTATACGGCTCACAGAGAAAAGAAAGTCAGCCACAGCTAGGTTGAAGAACCAGACGCAGCTGATGGTCCGTGAAACCTGGCGGGCGGTGATCCAGATCACAACTCCATTGCCGAGGGAACCCAGGAGAAAAATAACCGTGTAGAAGACGATCTTAAGGATGTCTCTGAACCTGTTTAGGTCAGAGTCAGTTTCCAAGGGGGGTGGCAAGGGTACATTGGGAAGCCACAAAGCAGTGGAACTAGCATTCATGATGACTAGCACCTAAAAAAATTAAGATGATCTTCTCTAATGAAAACAATCTGGAAAAGAGAGAATCAAAGAATTCATGTTATTTGATCCACCTGCTCTGGAAATCTTCAAAACTAGGAAGAATAACATGTTAAAGGTGCTAAAATACCATATTTTTTGGAGTATAAGACGCTCTGAAGTATAAGATGTGCCTAGTGTTCATGGAGGAAAACAAGAGAGAGAAAAAAAAATCTGCCTCTGCCTCCCAGCCATTTGCCTCCTTGCAGCAAACAGCAAACCGCCTGGTCAGCTTCAGCACAGCCTGATTTAGTACAAGCAGCTGATTGTCGGTTGGATTGGCCTCCTGATGATCAGCTGTTTCAGGCTGCAGGGATTGCCATCGTCTATTGCCGCCTCCGCGTGCCCCATTTTCAGCCTGTTCTGGGCAGTGGGGATCAAAACAGGTGGAAAATGGGGTGTGCGGAGGGTGAAAATGGGGCGCACGGAGGCAAAAAAAATGGGACGTGGAGGCCGAAAATGGGGCGTGAGGAGGCGGCAATAGGCGATGGCGATCCCTGCAGCCTGAAACAGCTGATCATCAGGAGGCCAATCCAACCGACAATCAGCTGCTTGTACTAAATCAGGCTGTGCTGAAGCGGACAAGGCAGTTTGCTGTTTGCAAGAGGCCGAAGGGTGGGGGCCTGGTGGGTGGGTGGGTGGGTGGGGCTTTGGCAATATTCACTGTATAAGACGCACAGACATTTCCACCCACTTTTAGGGCTGGAAAAAGTGCATCTTATACTCCAAAAAATACAGTAATTGTATTGAGTAGGTGAAACTTCTGTAATCCAATACCTTTTCTTTATCAACATTGCTAAAAGTTTGACATTAGTCTAGGCAAATTGGAAATGTTTTACCTTTACAGCCCTGGGTTTGTTCCAAAATTTTCCAAATTCTCTAGCTAAATTATCCTCTTTTTATCTGCCCTTGGATGCCTTAGGATTATCTGCTTTCCTGCCACCAACTTTGATAGACCCTAAGAAGCTTGTGAGTCATTGATTTACAACAGTTCGTTTAGTGACCGTTTAAAGTTACAACGGCACTGGGGAAAACATCTCTTATGGCCATTTTTCACACTTACAACCATTGCAGCATTCCCCAGGATCACGTGATCAAAATTTGGATGCTTGGCAACTGATTCATATTTACGACGGTCGCAGGGTCCCAGGGTCACATGATCCCCTTTTGCGACCTTCTGATAAGCAAAGTCAACGGGGTAACTAGATTCACTTAACAACCAGGATATTAACTTAACAACTGGAGTGATTCACTTAACAGCTGTGGCAAGAAAGGACATACAATGGGGCAAAATTCGCCTAGCAAATGTTTCACTTAGCAACAGAAATGTTGGACTCAATTGTCATCGTAAGTCGAGGACTATCTGTAATATAAACATGCATGCATGCTCTTTTCTCCAAGATTTCCTGATGTGATGTTCCCAAACTGGCTGGATTTCAATTCCCATGGTCCATCACTAGAGGGTGGAATTCCAACTCATTTCTACCCCTTCTATGATGAGTCAACTTCAACCAATTCGTGTTGCATTTACTTGGAAACAAACCAATCTACTTTAATACATTTAGAAACATCTCAGTTTGTTTATGAACGGAAACAGTTTTAAATGGAAGATCATTTCTCATTCTTAGAAGCGTCCAAGTTGTCTTGGTCTTCTCTACCACAAATCACCCCTCCTCCTCTCCCCATATTAACTGGGGGGCAAATAACCAAACTTTGCTAAAAGTAGAAATGAAGAATGTGGTGTCACTCCTCTTTAAATCACTCAAAATACTTTTGCATTTTACACAGGGGGCACAAAAGGAGACGGCAATATTTTTGCTGATGGCGGAACTGGCTGCTTGGAATAACCACCAGTTCTTCTAAATCAAAGCTTTCAAATCCGAGATTGGGTGGTCATTAGGAATTCTGGAATAGGAAATTTCCTGTATATGGTTGGATTAAATGATCATTGAGCCCAACTAAAACATGCAGTGATATACATCAGAGGTGGGATTCAGCAGGTTCTGACCAGTTCTGGAGAACCAGTAGCGGAAATTTTGAGTAGTTCAGAGAACCGGCAAATGCCACCTCTGACTGGCCCCGCCCCCATCTATTCTCTGCTGATTGGCTGGGTCTTCTTTAGTTGCCTTGCACAGGAGAACGGAGCTGGAAAGCAGGTTAGTGGGGTGAGGAGGGAATGGGGATTTTGCAGTATCCTTCCCCTGCCACGCCCACCAAGCCACGCTCACAGAACCGGTAGTGAAAATTTTGAATCCCACCACTGATGTATATGATTTTGGACATTTGTTCCTATACTTTCCCACCATTGGCCAATCATCCAGCCTTTGCTCTGATGCTTTGACCCATCAAAACTTTCTTTTAAAAAATAGTCTGGCCCAAGATACGGAGGGATGGAAAAATATTTTGATTGATCTAAGTTCCCCAACTTCTGCAGTTTCTCCAATTTCTCTGTTAACCAATTCTGCTGCTTCAAGTCCTTCTTGAATGGAAATGGCCCACAAGAAATCACAGGGATTTTGCTAATGGTGCTGATGTGGTACCATCAAGCTCCTTTTCACAAAATGCAGCAGAATCAGAATAGAGCTGGAAGGGACCTTGGAGGTCTTCTAGTCCAGCCACCTGCTCAAGCAGGAGATCGAAGTTATACCATTTCAGACAAGTGACAGTCCAGGTTCTTAGGAATAAGTATCCTAGGAATAATCAAGCTATGCTCAAATCCAAGACAAAACATGTCTAAGCTGGATGCAAGAATCCTAGAAACCACCAGAGATAAAACTAGAATGAGGTTTCTAGGGAGAATCCATCTCTTAAAGACTGTTTGACCGTCTAAAGCAGGGGTTCCCAACCTTTTCTATACCCTGCACCCCTAGAACGCTTCTGATATATTGTCGCACCCCTTACAAAAGTAAATAATTATATGCAAGTTTTTGCACCCCCTGGAATATCGTCTCGCCACCCCGGTTGGAAACCCCTGCTCTAAAGTATCCAGAAATGGATATCCAGACATGACATGGCTATTTTGGTGTTATAATAATCTGTTTTCCCAAAAATATGGCCTACCCTGAAAGTAAGTCCTAGGTTGATTTTTTTACATGCACCCAATATAAACCCTACCCCCAAAATAAGCCCTAATTAAGATCCCTCCCACTCCAGAGTGCACAGCTAAAAATTAAGCTAGGGTGAGGATGGGAGGATGGAGCGGCCCTACTACTAACCTTTTTGGACAGGTGTAGCCAGGCCTCACACACCCCGATACCTGCCTTGCCGGCCCATTTCTTCTGCAGCCACCAAGGCTGGCAAGGCTTTTCTGAAGGCCTCTATGGCTGATAAGAAAGCTCCGGATCGATCCAGAGCTCTGTTATCGGCTGCAGAGGCCTTCAGGAAAGCCTTGCAGGTCACAGAAGAAATTCCTGAAGGCCTCTGACAGTGAAAAGGAGGTGGGGCACACGCACAAGTGAGGTTAGTCAGTGGATGACATCCCCTGAAAATAAGACCTGGTGCCTTTTTTAGTGGCAAAAAATATATATAAGTCAGGGTCTTATTTTTGAGGAAATACGGTAAACCCAACCCCACAAGAAGATGCAGCATCCTAGGTCGGACTCCAGAAATACCTGTTTGAAGCCTCAGGAATCACGTCTCTTTTCTTTCGTTGAGCTTCTTCTTACGGGGGACTAGGAATTATTCAGTTGCAGTTCGTCTTCTCTGTGCTACTCTCCCTTGAATCAACAAAGTGGCTTTATAAGGAACATAAATAAAGGACAGTCCATGTGGTTGGTTTTTTTCTGAGAAGTTGCTGACATTCTGCAAAAGCCACCGAAATTTGCTGGCTTTCAGAAACTCTGCTTATCTTCTTGTGATATATTTCCAAAGATCGACTTGATTTAGCGAACACCGCAGCACGTTGTCCGTGGTAATTGTGTCACAGCCAACTGTCTAGTTGCATAAACCAGCAGGAGATTTCATAACTGTTTAGTTAGTAACATGGTTGTTAAGTGAATCTGGCTTCCCCATTGACTTTCTTTGTCAGAAGGTAGCAAAAGAGACACTGTAGCCATCATAAGTATGAATCTGTGGCCAAGCGCCTGCATTTCGATCCCACCACCGTGGGGAAGTTGCAATGGTCATAAGTGTGAAAAATGGTCATGTCCCCTTTTTTCAGTGTCATCGTAACTTCAAACGGTCCCTGAATGAACTGTTGCAAGTGGAAGACTATCTGAATAATTGGGGCAAGGGGTGTGTTTTAAAGTCAAATGTCAACTGCCTCCATTTTATGGTATTTTATGAAAATAAGTCACGTCAATTAGCAGGACTGAATCTGGATGTATTGGATTTTTGGGTGGTGTTGAATTTGAACTCAGATTTTTCTCCGCTAAGTGTTAAATTGGGTTCTTTATGCTCGGTTAGGAATGAAAGAGAAGTGTGTGTGTGTGGGGGGGGGGGAAATATTTGCACCCACACCGAAACACACACGCACTCATTTTGCAGAGAACGCCGGAGAAACTCATTGGCCAGAGCCAAAGAAGTTACTGCAAATCCAGAACCTGGATTGATCATAGATCCCTCAGAGCCAGCATCACACGCTTAAAGAGAAAATAGCTTTACTATGGTTTCAGTTGTGTGCAACTGAGCCAGAAATAAATTAACTTGTTCATTGCAGCCAATGCCATGAAATCACAGAAGTCTCAAGTTGCTTTCAGGTCAGATCCAAATCCATGTGTGGAAGTTTCTCAGATTCTAGAGATGTTCTTCTGGGATTAAGGTGAGCCCCTTAGAGTGGCAGACTACCTGAATAATTGGGGCAAGGGGTGTCTTTTAAAGTCAAATGTCAACTGCCTCCATTTTATGGAGGACAGGGGAAATTTACTTTTACCTTAAGGCAAGAGGCACCTTTTTTGTCAACTGAATTATTTTTTTCCCCAACATTGGTCATCAAGTGATAGATTTTTTTTCCAGAAAACTCCTCCTATTATCCACCTTATTCACCTGTCTTCAATTTCATTTACGCACATAATTTCTATATTACTATTCA